ACATTTTGCCCACACCCTGAGGCCAACAACATGTGAAGCATTCAGTAGCCTTCTAACCCTGGATATGGTAGCAGATGAGCGAGGGTCAAGGCTGAGTCAGAGAGAGCGATCCATGAGCGCCAAAAAGGTTACATTTGTTCAACATTACTGCTCATTGGGTTCAGTGCATGGACTGGAAACCTCACACCTGCTGGTGTCTGAGGCTCAGCCAGCCACTGCTGTGACACAAGCTGTTTCATATCACAGACAATCTGTTCAACAACAATGCAGATTTTCATTCTATCTTCTGACAACCCCGTTTTCATGCGAGCACTGACAGCATCACATGCCCTTGTGCTAAATCCTACCGAGGTAAATCAGAAGCTAACGTCATAAAGAATCATCTATGTACGTAGTTTTGCTGACCCTGGCATTTTTCCCCCAACAACGCTGCTAGTGCAAAGGATCAACTTAGGTTTTAAACCTAGCCTTAGTAGTTGTTCATTACATCTCAACTAAGTGAAGTTACTTTAAAAGACAGAGCAACATTTTAATCAAGAAAACAATTAAGGACATTTTTCAGTTACACAGCTAAACAGAGCCAGTTTAGTTATAGAATAAATTTCCCCTGGCAGCAACCTGGCACCTTGGAAAATAGCCTATGTCTTTTGTGGCATCACAAATGCATAGCTTTTTCTTTAGTTTTCAAAATGCAGTTGGTGACACTGTTGAATAATCCTTATTACCCTGGTGTCCAAGAGGAATGGGTAGTTAGTAAAAAAAATAATCCCTCTTCTAAAAACATTAATCAAAACAAATATCATTTTAATTAATATGAAATGTTTTACAATGTACGGCATAATTGCATTGTGTTTTTCTATGGTAAATTTGACCATAGTCTATCATATGGTTCAATTTTAGAAAGTACTTCTTATAACAGGATAGAAAGCTGTCTTTTCACTGTGTGAAAAGGGCTATAAAACAGCAATCTTTCGCCATCTTGTGGCAAAAGAAAGCAACTGTCAGACACACTGGAAAAGCTACCACTGGGCCTTTACCATTTTTCTGTAAAGGAACTCGGATGCTAAGGTGTTCACGGAAAGACATGTACAAATATTTACAGAGAAATATCCTATATAAAATCAACTGCATACAATTTATCATGTATAAAGTCAACAACAAGCAAATTGTAGTTTTACCTGTCTTGTGGAACTCCATTTGCATCTGCCCAGCAGAAAGACGAGCGTCGTCTTAAAAATCCAGTCAGTGCAAACCTGTGAATGCGTAAAATCAACTGATGACTTTGATTCTACAGCTCATATTATCACTGTTTTATGATAAAATGCTTTCTGTTCTCAAAGTCGACATTTGATTTCAGTGAAAAAAAAAAAAAAAAGTGTACAACTGTTGGTCTTTTACCAACAAAACTGCCTAAATGTTAGTTCTACAGGACACCAACAAACTCGAAAGAACTTGGTAGGTTATATAACAAGACAGATAAGAGAATACTGGAATAAAACAACCATTAACCTATAAATAACTCAAACTGTATCATATTAGGTTACATGTTTGTCACATTAATTCCCTTTACGTGATAATCCCTCTGGTTTCTTCCATCATACGACCATTGCTTAACTTTATTGGTACAGTATATCTATGCCCTTGTGAGCTTCCGATGGCATAAATATTTTTAATGCACCTTTGGAACTGGAGCACTAACCTATATTGATCTTGTCCAAAAGCATAAAGGCAATTGATAAATCTATTACAATAACGATTGTGAGCAGAGTAAGTGTTATCAGCAATGGTGAAAGCTTGTCATCACATAGGCCTCATTCTTTAAGGACATTAAGGCAGAGTGCACTCAATTTACTATTTGCTAAAAGCTGCAAAGCAAAATTGTTTGTTCTCCTGGAATATCTCTGAATTAAGGACCAGATATTTAACAGCCTCTATCCAAATGCTAGCCTGCTGTGACAACACAAACTATCACAGGAAAAAAATGCAATTTCCACCTGTCATAGCACAGGACAAACAGAAAAGAGCTGCATGAACCACAAGTTCTTATTTGAAAACTTGAAAATGCACAACATTTTGTTGGTATCCTTTAATGTTCTTCTTTTTTTGAACCCCAATCAATTTCATCTGTTTTATTAATGTGGCCATAACACAGTGACTGTATCTGCAAATATCCTGCAGTTCCTCACCATAATTCATGAGTGGCTATAGTACAGAGTTTTCATAGGCCATGACAGTCAATTTATTGGACATATTTTCCAAACTCCATCTAAGATGTTGAATAAAACTACTCACCTAGATCCTTTTACAGCAGTTTTTGGTGATCCTGAGGCCAATAGGTAAAACCAGCTCAAAACATGATGCAAGGTTTGTCGGTTTGCTGGCACACAGGCCTAGATAAACTTTGCTAAACTGAAATAGTATAGCACCTGCAAGTTGGCTTTGTCGGTTTGCTGGCACACAGGCCTAAATAAACTTTGCTCAACTGAAATAGTATAGCACCTGGAAGTTGGATTAACTTGAAAAAAACAGTTTTCATAAGTTCTAGGAAACATAGTTGCCTTGTATAAAGCATGTTAATCAGACAGGAAGCTGAAATATGAAACGTTAATATATTGTGTAATTGTGCTAAGGACTCTTGGAAACTTCTTTTGTGTTTTTCTTCCGGTCCTTCTGTCCTTTATTGGCCAAATATTTACATTTTCATAGACGGTGAGTGGAATTTGACGAAGCTACTTTGCAACTGCACCAAACAAAAGAAAACGTTAGGTTGTTTTGGTCGCAACAGAACCGTCAACACCTGGCTAATGTTAGGCTTCCCTTGAGTGGCTGCTAATAAAAAGCGTTTATTACAAACATTTGAAAGCAGCTTAAACAAAAAACGAAACCACCGAATTAACGAACGTGCCGGAGGGAAGGTCAACTTTTCAGCGACAGCTCAGTAAATATCGCTTCCAAAACAAGTGCGCGCGCCATGAACTAACTAAAACAACACAGGTGAACTCCATTCAGTAAACCACGATGGTGAATACATTCTTCTTCGCTATCCGTGCCACTAAGATAACTAAATCTCAGCAATTTCGGCATTGGCGGACACAGACGAAATTACAAGATGTTTACTTCCACAAATACTTTTTCCCATGGAAAAAGTGCAAAAAGAAACAGAAACTGATATTCTAGGCTACTTTACTCAGAGCTCATCTCTTCTTTTAAAATTATGCAGAATAAACGTTACACTGTCAACAACATTGTTGTTGTTAAGTAGATTAATCCCATAAACCGGAAAGAGGAATGAAAAGCAAATGCTCTGCAGTCACTGATCCACCTAAAGCTATTCAGACCACATTGTTTGAGTTTTCTTCAGGTATGGAAAGCTATGAAAGAGATCTATATCTATGTTGACATACAGTAGCTTCTGTTTTCAAATTGTAAAAGCGTATGGCTTGTTTTGTTGCCTCAAACAAACAATTGAGGGAGCAACTACAGAACTCATCCTTAATTGAATCAAACTTCAAATCTGATTCAATCAGGATGGTGACTTCAGTATTTTGATGCTGGATTGCTGTCAAGTTTTAATTTGGCTGATGAATATCATTATTCAAAAGGATGGCTTGAGGTTGGAAGACCAACTGCTTCTGGTTCTTATAAATTTCAAACATGGATTCACTAACAGATACATTTCAGAGAGATTTGGCGTATCATTCTTCAACATCGGAGAGTGAATGTCTGTTTTCTCTTCTATGCTATATCTTTTATAATGTGGCCAAGCAGGGAAACTACAAGAGTTTGTTTAGTTTTAAACCCATTTTCGTGGACTATTGTATTGTTGACTGCACTGAACTCTTTATAGAGAAACTCAAACCTATTAGCACAAGATGGAACCTTGTCAGATCTCAAACATATAAACACTATAGAGTAGCTATGTGGAATAAGACTAGCAGAGGCTGTACCTCAGATAAGATTATGGCATCAAAGTCGAGCTTTTAGGCACATGTGAACATGTGGTTCTTGTTGACAGGAGGCTTCTTGTAAGAATAAAACTTAAAACATAATTAAAACATTAGCCTGGCTCCTTCTCCTGTTGTCTATCCAGGGTCTGCATTTGCCTGGAGCAAGTGATTAGACACTTTAAACCTCTCAGATACTAAACACTGTGACATCTATTAGCCAGGATGATTCCTGGATGATAGCTGAAGAGTGTGTGTGGTTCTTACCATTATTAAGATCAACATTGATTGTAAAAGAAAATATGGAGGATAAGAGCAAAAGAAGAAGGCTGTTCCATAGATAACTATAAAATGCTCCAGTTGAACATCAAGGCAAAACCTGGATTAACATTGGCTTGGAATGTTGGAGATGGAGAGCACTAAAAGCATCCAAAGGACTACACTTGGACACAGATGTGGCTTCCTTCCTGCTAGATGCATAAGTACTGTATCTGGCTAATGTGTATTTGTTGGCATCATTAGTAAGCTAATGTTAGTATTTTGTACCTTTGTATTGAATTATTCTGGTTGTAATTTGGGGTCATTGCATCTGACTACAAAGTTGGCGTTTTGTTGCTCAACTGGAAAAAACATTCCTCTGTATAATTTGCTTGTGTTATTGCAGATTGATCTGCTGCAAACAATGTTAGACATTCGTAATATGTTGCTAAAATGTAAAACTCCTTATATGACATTGTGTTGCTGCATTGCCACCAAAAACCATGGGGTCTATGGGCTCTATATTCTGTATGCATTAGTTCTGGCACTGGTTATTACTGCTGCCCTACCTTACTGCCACAACTGTCTCTGGCTGTCATGACCACACGTGACGTATTTTCAGAGAGGGCAGGAGGGGCAAAGAAGAGCAGAGGGAGAAGAGGAGGGGATACTGCCTGAGTTTGTTTTGACTCAGACTTTGAAAGCTCCTGAGCAGAGAGGTGTTTTGTGACAGTTGCCTAAACAAAACATAAATTCATTTTTTTTTTGTCTGATTAAAACAATACAGAAGACACTGTATTAGTCACTACAGTCTTTATTTGGTCTTAGTTTGTAGTCATCACCTGGAAAAAAGAAAGCATAAAGTCAGTGTTGCTATATGCTCCCGTGGAGGGCACCAGAGCATCTGCACTTCTTTATCACAGTATTTCCATTCACTACTCCTCTGAGCTACAGAGTAGTTCAAGTAGGTAAAAAAAAAATTTAAAAACAGTATTATTACTGTGCTTTTATATAATTTGTATACATATAATTGATCAGTTTCTAGAAATGTATACATTTTGCCAGAAATCAAACATTTCTTAGATGCTTTTTCTGATATGTTTTTTCTAATATGCATCTACAAATGGCTGCCCATCAGCAACTTTAGATACTTTTGTTCTCTGATTTGTCTTTAAAGGTAGTAAACAGAGACTGGCTATATCTCTAAATAGGAAATATGTTTTAATACCCTCACTTTGAGCCAAAAATAAACTCTAAATAAAAACATATTTACTATATCATTACATAATTTGAACAAAGGTTTTACTATCCAAATATCTTTGCACTTACTCTATTGATCCAGGACCTGTAAGCACTGACTCTAGTGAAGACAGAGGGCTTCTTGGGGTAGTTGCATCCCATGCTTGAGCCGAAGCTCACAACACCGTGGACATCCCAGGAGCCATCAGGGTTCTGGCAGTTCAAGGGACCACCAGAGTCTCCCTAAAGGGGAACAGAGATGTGCTGCTTGGCAAAAACTCAGCAAAAGATGGGAAATACTTCTAGAAAATTAACGTTCAGTGACCATAATGATTCAACGTAGAGATATGCCAAAGTATAGTAAGCTGTGATTTAGTTTTACAAGATTTTGCTATTATTAGTGTAAGTTAATAAAATGAAATGAATCATGCTCACATTGCAGCTAGCAATCTGTCCGTCTCCTCCAGCACAAATCATGTCGTTGGTCACCAGGTTGCCCCACCAGTCAGGCTTGGTGCAGGTGTAGTAGTCGACCACAGGAAGGAGGGCCTGCTGCAGGATGTCGGCAACAGGACCTCCAGCTTTATAGGAGAAGATGACATTCAGATTCAGAGCTGCAGTTAAGATCACTTTAAACTCAAGAGCAAGTAAAAACCAGGTTTTTTAAAAATCCGACATTTTTATAAGGCTAAACAGAACGTCAATACTATTCTGTCATTTTAACGTATAGTTTTGACTTATTTAATGCATAAGACTTGGGTGTGACCCTCAGTATGATCATACATTAATGTTGCAAGCCTTGGTTGATATTTCATTTATTTATTTTTAGTTTATAGTACTTACTCCAGAGACGTCCCCAGCCGGTGACATAGCAGGGAGCATTATGAGGCAGGATCTCACCAGAGCCGGGAAGACAGGCAGCCATGATACTATCAGAGAATCTGACAGGAGCTGACAGCTTGATCAGGGCAATGTCATTACTGGAGAATGAAAGCAAATACAGTACCACATTTAGCACAGGAATGCTCATGATGACCATTAACAGCAAGGATAAAACACTTAAAAATAGTTACAGCAGCATAATATGTAGCTCACTTTATATCATTATTTTGACTGAGCTCACCGGATTCTGTAAGAGTCCCAGTTCTCATGGACGATGATCTTGGCAGGACTGATGGCAATGGAACCAGCCTCGTTGTTGTCCCTCAGGTTGTGTTTTCCCAGGTAGACTCGATAGGTGCGACTGCTGCTTGCCCACAAAAACACAGAAACAAGGGTAGGAGTTGTTTAAGGCAGGGATCTATTCACTGTAACACTTCATTAGAACAAAGAGTTCATTACAACAAGTACAATACAGTTACAGGACTACTGCTGCTACCATACACTGTATGGCATATGGTGTTAAAGTCTTTAGATCAGTACTATCAGTTGTAACAATAGTGGGATTCCCAAATTTTAATGTTTTGATATTTGTAAAAATCTGTTTTTCTTCAGTAAAAAAAACTAATCTGTTGTTATGCCAACTCTGTATATTTTACTTATCAGGCTGCTAATGTATTCAAGTTCAAGTACTGTATATATTTTTAAGTAGGCATTCAAAATATCTCCTTCTGTACTGCTTCTCTCACTCAATATGGCTGTCTGCTGTACCATAGGGCTGCCCCTCTGTGTCCTCTCTGCCTTTTGTACCTTGCTAGTGTTTGATTTCTTTTACTTATTAGCCTCACCCGATGCAGTGAGCAGCAGTGAGGACCCACTCGTTGGAGATCAGAGTGCCACCGCAGGTGTGGTAGAAACTGCTGCCGCTCTGGTACTGCAGAGACACCTGACAAGAACAGAAAAGATGTGAACCTTTTATGACTTAAAGAAACCAACAGAACTTCAAGAAGATTTAAGGTAATATACCTGCCATGGCCAGCTGTGTTCACGGACATCATCTCCACCAACCACCCTGCTGATGATGGGGCGGTAGGTGGGTAGGCCACACCCATAGGCTGAGAGACAACAGTACAGAATATGGTGATATATGCAGGAGTCTTAACTTTAGCAGCATTATTAATTCTGTAATAATATTTATTCTTTAACTATCAAAAATATTTCCATAGGTAAAAATGCAATTCTGTTAACTTCATTAAAGACAATGCTTCATATTCATTTTAGGTGACTTTATGTAGAAAGTAAGTCCAAAAGCAAAATAGTGTGAGAGCTTACCACCAGCAACAAACAAAGCCAAGATTACAAACATCATTGCGACTGTCTTCAGCAGAGCTCCAGGGGGA